GAGGGGGGGGCGTTTAACTTTTGGGTTTTTCCCCAAAACCAAAAAAAAAACAAAAATTCCCGGGCCCCCCCCCCCCCCCCCCACACACACACACACATATCCTCTATTTATTTATTTTACTATGCTGCAGAAGTTAGTTGAGAGAAAATATTAATTCAATATTTATTTATTCAACACAAATGTCTATTTGTAATATTTTTATAGTATTTATAATTTAAGTGAATTAATTGGCTGGTTTTTAAGGTTTAGTGTTTACAAATTCCAACTTTACCTCTCTCAAAGTATGACATAGGTCAGTGATCCTGGTATAATTTAAAATATGACCTGACGGTCTTTGAGATTAAATAATTCTGAACATTTAGAGGTGAAGTAATACATAGATGTGATTAAATGAATAGCTATTTCAACTTATGATGATGTCATAAATGGTTGTCTTGCTCGGGGTCAACAATGTGGTAAGATGGAGGTGGACGTTGAACCTTCTGGCCTCCCTTGCGGCGCCTATGCTGTTTATACAGGGTTTATAGACGTGCATTCTTTGTGTTTCTCTGTATCTGGTAAGATTATTCTTTCCAAATGGAGAAACTATCTGAAATATCATGCTACGTTTGTTTCTGTTGCAATGATACGTGTAAAGTTTGGAGAAGTAAAAGAAAAAGCAAACTTGGGCTCCTTGCCAGCATGGAGCCCCAATGAGAAATACGTTCACAAAGTTCTACACATCCTCAGAAAAACAGTTTGAACGTTATTCCCACAGAATCATCATTTAAAACTGATTTTACAAAAATATCCTGCTTGTTGTTGGAGCTGGGAAACATTTTTATCCACATTTTAGATGTTTACATATCACCAAGTAATAGCTGTTGGGTTTGCAATGAAAAATAATAATATAAAAAGAATAAAAGAAAAAGAAGAAATGGTCAAAAGACCTGCACTGACAGTATAAAAAGTAGATATGTCGCGCCGTGGGGCGCCAAATTAAATTCTGCATACGGCGTTGTAAAACCCTGGGTAGGCTCTGAATATTTCTGCAAGAACAACAACAAAATGACGCTCGCTTGTTCTTATAAATTTGCTTAAATGAGGTTTAATTTAAGCAAGCCAAAGTGATGCTCATTTGTCTTGCTGGGTTCTCCTCTTCAGGAGCTCCTGCTGGCCCCGGGCCCCTCAGAGAGTCACTGCAGTGAGCTATTTATGGTCTCCACAGGAGCAAGGTTCCGCCTCTCCGGAGACATTTTCATATACCATCTTAAACGCCCCTCTTCCTCTCTCCTCTCCTGTCGAGGATGCTATCCACCTCTGCTGTGGCGGGGGAGAAGTAAGGTGGTGGGGGGTGGGCAACCCTCCACCTGCGCTCCTATTGGCTCCCGGTGAGCCTGTGCCGCGTTGACGTCAGACCCCCGCCGCCTCTGCGGCGCTGAATGGACCGAGTAGCCTGTCTGCTCCATACTCCAAAACAGCTCAGCACGGCGCGGCGCGGCTCGGGCATCACCCTGGGAATAGAGAAATACCTGGAAAAGAAGGTTTGAGCGGAAACAGGCCTCAACAGCAGCTTCGTGTTTTTGAGGGATTTTTTTTTTTTTTTTTTTTTTTTTTTTTTTGCACACAAGCGAGGACGGGGGGAGTGCGCCCACCGCGTTGCGGGTGTATGTGCGTGCGTTTGGATCACGATGATGCAAAGTGCGGCGGTTCTACCGACAGAGAGTCCTGTAAAGAGTTTACCGGAGATTCTCGGTGTGCCACTGCAGCGTAAGACATTGTTTTCTTCCCCTCACCCGCTCTTCCCATCTTCTCGTCTTTTTCTGTCGATTGCCAGTCCGGGAACAGGTTGGTGAGCGCAAGCACTTCTGCTGGGTCGGCCGTATGGAGAGGTGGGCTGACTTACAGCCAGAGAATAAGGAGAGGAGACTGAAGCCCTCAAAGGCCAGTGATGTGTCATGCTGCTTATAAAACAAGCTGCAAAAGTACTTAGATGAAATCAAGTCACGGTGAGGAGATGAACACCCCGTTCATCTCTGCAGCTGTTTCTTACTGTTCTCTTCTTACTGTGCTAATGCAGTTTCAAGCTTCCTTAAACGCTATTAATAATTTCTGTTCTGAAGCGGCGGCTTGGTGTCAGCGCGCTGCATCCTCAGTGCAGAGCTGCTGGACTCACACAGAGCCTCCCAGCTGTTAATTTGTAAACGAGCCTGCATGGTCAAGAGATCAGACGCGGTTGTCATCGTCGCCACGTCAGACAAACGCGCTCTGGCTTTGACTGGCATCGGTTACCGAGCCTAATAAAAGCCTCGGACGTCTTATTCCAAAAAATAAAGGGGGGGCTGGCATCAGAACGAGCATTTGCAGGCGATAATTATCAGCGAAATCTCGCAACATTTCCTTGACCTCGGCGTCAAAGGCGAGAAATATTTTACATCTGTTCGCTCGTTAATCTGTGCCGGGGCCTTTCGTAATCTGATCGTGTAAAGATTGAAGTGCGACCGGATCCGTTTCTGCTCTGACCTAATTATTCAGGGTCGAGTTAGGAAAATATACAGATGGAGCGGGGGCTAATAGGCAACCCACCCCCTACATCCCCACCCAAGAAGAAGAAGGGGAAAAAAATATATATATATATAATAATAACAATGTAAGGGTGAGATAATTACTGCAACTTAATTAATCTAGTTTCAAAACATTATAAGATAAAATACTCAAAACGAAATCTATCTATCTACCTATCTATCTATCTATCTATCTATCTATCTATCTATCTATCTATCTATCTATCTATCTATCTATCTATCTATCTATCTATCTATCTATCTATCTATCTGCTCTTTCATTTTATGAATTGATACAGATTAACAGATTGGATAAAGATCCTGCCACTCAGCCTCCTGCAGCGCCAGGATTCATCCTGGATCTAAACCTGGATTATTTCAGGGACCAAAGCAGCCGGTCTAAGCATTTCACATCAGGGAAAAGGGAACGTCTAATGGCTCTTAGGTTGTAGTGTTAATTACACATTTGGTAATCATAAATTATTTACTTAGTGAGGTGAAAGATTGGAAGCACCAGCCTTACTCTGGAAATATGTTTTTAATTCCTTTTTATTATTATTGTTATTATTTTGAAGTTGTAAAGATAGAAAAAAATCGATGCAACAGAAAACAGACTCTGAGTTTTTTTATGTAGGTAGAAGATAGAAGTGGTAGAAGAGAGCCACTTCTCTCTTCTACCTACATACACCTTCAATGTTTTTATTTTTATAAAAAAAAATAAATTCTGGGGTAGGGTGAGGGCCAGTCCCAATTATTTCTGCTAAGGAAATAATGTTTGCATCTACAATATTCCAGGTTTTCAGGATTCAAGCCGAATTTTTAACAATAAAATCCAATTTATGATTCTATTTCTTACCTTTAAAAAACTGAGTGGTTCAGAATGGCAATCTGACTTTTTTTTTTCCATATCTGATTTTTGCAAACAAACAAACAAAAAATTCGTACATTTTTACTATATTACAGTATTTAATTATTATTTTTGCAAGCATACTTCTCTCGCAGCACCTGCATTTGCAGAATGCAGAATAACATGTTTTTGTCATAGGGAGATTTTTTTGAGAGTGCAGATGTGATTTCTCTCGACAGAAAATAGTCCCGTTGCGGGAGTTCAGGCTCCTGCTCATTTTTCTGCTCACTTTCACCTCAAACTGTCACCGTTGTCTTCAATGGAAACCATGCAGATGTGTAACAAAAACAAAAATGGCTCAATCAATGTTGTTCTTTTTTTAATGTCATTTTATATTTGTAGACATTGACAACAATAACGTCAACCTTACTTTGCATGGAAAGATTATTTTTTTTATTTAGTTAAAAAAAAAGGCCTGCATGCACAGAAGGAACGACGCAAAATACGTCAAATGTGTGGCTATGGCTCTGTTTTTAAAATTAAAAATCGATCAGTTGTGCTTTGGAAATAAATTCATAAAGATCTTGTGTGCCTGAATGGACACCATCTGTACTGCTGCGGATTTAGTTTTCAAAAATTATTTTTCAAAAATTCTGAATCTAATCGCGCCTTGATCTTGATTTACGTCAGGACGCCGTCTCACCTACAGACACTGGTTGTCACCACGCTTTCCATAAAATCATTCAGGGATTAATTAAGATCGAGATGGAAGAGGCAAACCAGATTAAGACGGAGAAAATCAATACGTCGTCAGAAAGAAAAAAAAAAGCATTTTTGCTCTGCAGGCGAATACTTCTGTGATCAGCACCTTGGACAGAGACGGAAATCCTTACCGAGCGCACACGGTTTTATGTAAAGACATTTATTATATTCTGGTACAAATGTATCTGAAAAAAAGGCAACATTTACTATGTGAGGATTGATTTTCCCTAAAAACGAGAATGTACCATAATAACAGAGAAAGAAGGTGAAAACAGGATCAGGAAACGCGTTATTGGTAAACGTCAGAACGAGAGAAAATCCTGAATGAACAAATCTCCAACACATTTCAATAACATATGAAAACCTAATAATTTTCATTTATCATAAAAATGTTTGTTTTTTTCCCCCCCTCGGTCTGATTTATTACAATTTTTGCATTTTTTTAAAGGAGGAAACTCTTGGTTGAGTTTAACAAAGGATTCATATATAAATTCCTCACCGCTGAAATTCTGCACACAATCTACTTCGACAATGTGAGAAATAAAGAAAACCCTCTCCTTCGAAACGACTTCCTATAAATACAGCGAACCTCTCTGATGATGTTGGACCTTTGCCTGCCTTGTGCCGGTGGCTGAGTGTGACATGGCCTTCTCGTTGTTTCTCCTGGCAGAGATCCCTCAGTGTGCAGGCTGCAGTCAGCACATCCTGGATAAGTTCATCCTGAAGGTGCTGGACAGACATTGGCACTCCAAGTGCCTCAAGTGCGCAGACTGCCAGACCCCGCTGGCGGATAAATGCTTCTCCCGGGCAGGCAGCGTCTACTGCAAGGAGGACTTTTTCAAGTCAGTGCGCCTTTCTCTTTTCTCCTTTTCGTTGTGTTCTTGTTATTTTTGAAATGAGCATAATCACTGGTTTGTGTTTTTATTTTGAGTCGCACAGATTGCAGCTTTTCTATGGAGGACTATATTTAATGCATCAAAACTGCAAAAAAAAAAAAAAAAAAAGTGGCAAAATTCCAGAAATAATGCTTAGAATATGTCATGTAGCTAATATATATTTTATGCATAGCATAAATATTGCTGCAGATTAGACATGAACCGGCATTCTATGTTCACGATATATGATGTGCAAAAATACAATATTATCACAGTATTGCAATATTTATAATAAAAAAAACAATTATCATAAAGTCTATTTTATTCTTAGCAAGACAGCTGAATGCATCCATACCAGAGCTAAATTTTTATAACATTAGAGGTATTATTACAATCAATGGCTTTGTTTTTTTTTATGTGATACACAAATTTAAGCCAAAATACACAATACACAATAAACTGACGCCAAACTTATTAGGTTTTGAATGCTTATTGCATGAAATATACCTGCCGTCATTCTGCTCTTTGTAGAGTAACGTAAGTCCAATATGCTGGTATCATCTGGTTAATTAGTGGAATTGCCTGGTTGTGACTTTAATCAGCGTTATCATTGGCGTCTTTTTAGTTTCCATATCATGTTTGACTAGAAGTATTTTGGAACAGCTGATTTTTTATCTTTTTTGTAGGGGGGCAGGAAGGTGCAATAGGTCTCTTTCAGCCATCTGACTGGCAGTGTGTAGCAACATGTGGGGGAAGGGGCAGATGGTGAAAATCCTTTTATCTGATCTCTCATTAAAAGGATTTTAATGTGTCAGAACAGTCTAATGGAAGAAAGTTGTGAAATATTTATTTTAAATCGGTGGTAAACCTTCACACTGGTTCCCTGCCTCCCTGGTGAAGATGCTATTTATAACATCTGTGATTTCCACACCCATAGATTAACTTGGCTCTGATTATAAATCCCCATATTTCACTATCTTCTTTCTTTCTTTCTTTTTTTTTTCCGTTTTGCTTCTTTCTTTTAATGATTGGATTTCAGAAGCATTACAGAAGAAAATTGAGTTTGACTTTCATCCAAAACAGGATCAGCAGATCTGGGCTTTTTACTAAATCACGTTTGAAAGGTTTTAATGCTCAAAGCTTGAACGAGACCCCCGAGGAGCTCTGGAGTCTAACTGGTTGCTAACTGTATTAGCTGACCCAGGGGGACCCGCGAGGGGGGACGTTGGCATGTTCAAAACTCTTCAAACATGGAACAACACACATGTGGTTTTGCTGGTTAGAGACTCGAAGGCTTCACTTTGCTTTTTTATGTTTGATTGGGTGGTTTCCTGATTTAGAGCCTCTCCTCTCCTCTGTCAGTGTTTTACTGTTTCTCCTCAGGGTGGGTTTACTGTGTGCTGCCTCCCTCAACAAGCTCTGTTTAATGTCGGTACTTTAGCTGCAAAAAAAAAAAAAAAACAAGCATGCCAACACACAAGCAGATATGCAAACCTGATGGATTCCACCGATGCATCAGTCAGGCTTGCTGTTAACAGAAATGCACTGCAGAGCTCGTTTCCTTTTGCTTTTAACAGCAAGGACTTCAAATGTTGCAAGCTCTGTGACATATTTCTGTATTTTATGGAAGCTTCACTGTCTGCATCATCATCATCATCATCATCATCATCATCATCATCATCATCATCATCATCATCATCACCACCTCTGCTTCCTGTTTCCCCTTCAGGCGTTTTGGAACAAAATGCGCCTCATGCCAGCAGGGCATCCCTCCGACGCAGGTGGTGCGGAAGGCGCAGGACTTTGTGTATCACCTGCACTGCTTCGCCTGCATCATGTGCAGCAGACAGCTGGCCACCGGCGACGAGTTTTACCTCATGGAGGACGGGAGGCTGGTGTGCAAGGTGGATTATGAGACCGCCAAACAGAACGGTAGGTGTGCTCACTGACAAGGCAGAACGAGAAGAAAGGGTGAACATGTACTTCCAGCGACATAAAATGATTGTTGCAAATGTCCATCTATTTGCTTCACTGCTGAAAGGCTCTGACCTAACTGGGCCGCATCAGAATTGCAGAAGAGCGCGATAGATCAAGCTGTATGCACCTCTCAGCGAGGCGAAATAACTTCTGACTGTGGATCGTTGGTGTTTGTCATCTGGGTGTGTGCGTGCTGTTTCTGTCCCTCCCTCTCCTCTGAGATTTCCATGCGTCTCTGATTGATTATGTAAAGTGAACTGATGCTCTTATATGGTGCGGCTCCAATAACTCCTCTCCTCTGGCAAAGGGTAGATTTATGTCCTCTGCTGTGGGAGTGGGACAGATGCACAAGGACAATAATACACTGCCCCGCATAACTATTCTCTTCATTTAAAACACACACACACACACACACACACACACACACACACACATAAATATATGCAGAGGGTTGCCACTCATGTTTGCAACTGTGTTTGCAGATGATTCAGAGGGTGGGACCAAACGACCAAGGACCACCATCACCGCCAAGCAGCTGGAGACCCTCAAAAGTGCCTACAAAAACTCGCCAAAGCCAGCGCGCCACGTCAGAGAGCAGCTGTCCTCTGAGACAGGCCTGGACATGAGGGTGGTGCAGGTAGAGCGTTCATTTTCTTTAAATTTATTTTTAGGAAATTGACTTCCAAAATGAGTACGCTCCAATTTTAGCGTTGATTGAGTGAATTCCTCTGTCGTAGGACATTAATACTTGTCTCTCTGATCATCTGTAGTAAATTAAACAATGTCATTATGACTGGAAAAGTCTGCAGTTTTATCACCAGGACTTAAAATCATGTTTGCTTTACGTGTTTAGAAGCTTCTGGGTATTTTTGCGAACCTCTGTTTCTTGATTATGCTGAGATAGAACATAGTTATTATTTTAATCCATTCTCTTTGTTGCCCTGACCTCGTTTTTAAAGTTTTTTTTTTAATCCTTTAAAAAAAAACAATAAATAATTATTTATCTATGTTCTGTATGTGCAGAATTTTGAATTAATTAAAATGTATAGATTTATTTATAAATGTATTTGTACGTTTTATAATTTTTAGTTAATGTTCTAAATTAATAAACATATTCTTATTTTTCGATTTTAAAGTTTTTATTGCAGCAAAATCTTTGATTATATCAAATATTGGTAAAAAAAATCAGTTATAAGTTATTATTATTTATTCAGCTTTTTATAGGTGCTATAAACTGTATGCCAAGCAATTGGAGAGGTTAAATATTACATCATGTTTACATGAAAAATAAACTTGTTTTTAATGCCAAACTAAAATTTTCAACCAAGGTTAAATAAACAACAACAAAAAAACGGAAATTATGATGGCGATGTTATTGCTTTCACAAACTCAAATAATCTGGTCTGAATCCTTGATTTGTCTTTTTAAAGATGAACATTACGGTTTAACCCGACAGGTTTGGTTCCAGAACCGGCGAGCAAAGGAGAAGCGTCTAAAGAAAGACGCCGGTCGCCACCGTTGGACTCAGTTCTATAAAAGTGTCAAACGCAGCAGAGGAGGAACCAAAGTGGAGAAGGAGAGCTCGGCTGACGATGCAGGGCTCAGCGACAGCGAGCTGAGCTTCAGAGGTATTTTTTTTTTCCAGATCATTTAGTCCCAGAAAGGGAATTAGCAGACATATTCCTGCTAATAGGATTAAGGGAGCATTCAAAATGGTAAACCACACGAGAGCTGCAGATACCAACGTGGCTTTTCATTTGCCTGCTTGTGTTTCCTGTTGGAGCGTGCCACTTTGAGGCAAATCTGAAATGTCATACCTGTTTAGGTTTTCCTCCGCGGCCGCTGATGCCTCCTGCCTTTGTTTGTTTGTGTGATGGAGCTTATTGGAAACGAGCAACGGCTCCTTGGTGGGATGCAAATGGAGTTTTAGGCATCTTTTTGTTATTTAATATTCACAGCCCCCCCCCTCCTCTTTTCCCTTTTTGGATAATTGTAAAAGTATCTGAACCAATTTGAAAAAGAACGCTGTTTTTATGAGAAATGAAAACATGGTGACAGAAACTCTATAAAGCATGTGAGGCTTTTATTCAATTAGAGAGAAAGTGCTTTTGGGCTTTGTTGTTATTGAAGCCACACAGGGGATCGATTGGAGATGTAAACACATATTTTGTGCTGCAGTTATTGACCAGCACACAGACATAGATATGAATTTCAGGTTTAGCATATGCGTCATGTTATTTAGAAGATCAGGAGCCACACATTTTACTTGATATGAGTCAAGAGCTTCTGCAGCCTTTAATAATGAAGGCTAAAAAGCAAAGTTTTTAAAATCTTTTAAGTTTCTTTGGAGAGAATCCCAAAACTTCTTCTGTAAATACTCATATCGCTTGATTTATTTATTTATTTTTTCACATTTTGTCATGTTGCAACCCCTAAATTCAGTCTATTTTACAATACGCAAAAAAGGCAGTGCACACTTTTGACAGGGAAGAAAAACAATGCATTGTTTGATTTTTTTTTTTTGATTTTTTTTGTCCTCAAATAAAAACATTTGGTGTGGATTTGTATTCACTCTCCTTTTTTCTAATAGCTCTAGATAAAATCCCATTCAACCAAGAGGATATTCCTCCAAATAATATCCCAAACTTTGACAGTCTCACAAAGCTCCGTTTGATCAATCACCTTAAAAAGGAGAGAGTGTGATGGAGGACTAGCATTAATCACGCTAGTGGCAGCATCATGCTGTGGGGCTGTTTTTCTTCGAGAGGTACAGAAAAACTGGTCACAGTTTCTCGGCCTCATTGTGGAGAAAACCCGTTCACCTTACAGGTTTTCTGCATTGACCCCGAAACACAGTCAGATCTATAACAGATCAATGTACGTACAGACTGGCCCAGTCAAAGCCCAGACCCAAAATACAACTAGAAATATATGGTAAGGATTGTTCATGCTGAGTTATTTGGATGGGAAAATTGTTCAGTCTAGATCTGCCGAGCTCCAAAACGTATGCCGCAAAATAATTGCAATTATGTTTGGTTGTTTCTCCAAACCTTTTAACCTGGGAGACGTTCAAAACTGTTTTTCCAAACACCTCAAAGTTGTTCACCACTTTGAGGCGTCTCTGTCATGTAAAAAGCTTTAAAACAGATTCCCGTTGCAAAAATAAAACGTTCAAGTTGTTAAGCAAAGGACTGTGTCTTACTTACTGCTCAATTAAACCTATTAAAGAAGAGAAATCTCCTGTCTTATTTCTTACTGATCTTCTTCTCTGATCTCCTCTCCAGATGACCAAGTCTTGTCTGACCTCAGCCACGCGAACGGCCTTTACGGGAGCGTGGGAGACATGACCAGCAGCGCCGTCCTGAACGGCGGCTTCTCCGTCGACGCAGCGGGACAGCCCTACCAAGACATCCGGCCAGGGAGCCCCTACGGCCTACCACAGTCACCTTCCTCCATCACCTCCCTGCCCGGCCACACGCCTCTCCTCAACAACCTGACCTTTAACATGGACAGTCTGGTGGCGCAGGGGGGCCCGGGCGGAGTGGGACAGGCTCTGAGGGCCATGGCGGGGGGCCCCACCTCAGACCTCTCCACGGGCAGCAGTACGGGATACCCTGACTTCCCCACCAGCCCGGCCTCCTGGCTGGATGAGATGGACCATTCCCAGTTTTGAGCCTCCAGCTCAGCAGAAGAACCACTATGAGGATTTATCAAAAGGACACGACAGATTTTTTTTTTTTTTTTACATTTCTTTCCTTCGCCCTGCGAGACTTGCTGTGCTTTGTGTTGCTTGGTGGAGAGAAAAAGCTTGACTGGAGTCCAAACAGTGAGATAACAACCAGGCTGGAAGGTGCAGACTGGACTAAAGCAGTAAAGCAACACATGAATGTTCAATCTCAACACCACATCATCACCATCATTTTTTCTTTCTTTTTTTTTTTAATTATTGCCTGTTTTTATTTCGTTCAATCGCTTCAAAGGAGACTAAACTCCAGAAACATTGGTGGACTGTGCTCAAACACACAGGTCAGGGCCGTCATTTGTACCGGGCCCAGAAGGCAGCTGCATGCTTCTGATTCACAATGAGTTGAACTGCTGGCCGGCTGGCCGCACCGGAGCCTTCACATTGGCATTGCACTTTACTCTCCTCTTCTTTTTCTACATGGACGGACAGGAGTGCAGAGGAGAGAGACGTATGCACAAGGCAAACAGTGTTTCACTCGGAGAAAAACTTACAAGAGCAGTGGCACAAGCGTGAATCTAGAAACATGTTCATGTTTTTTTTCCTTTTTTTTTCTGTTTAGTTTTTTCACGTGTTACCGACAAAGTGTTTTGAGAAATGGTCTGATCTGCTGATCTGTGCATCCAGAAATTGTTTTAATGAGGGCGTTTTGAGACAAAGCGGTCATATTTACAGAATTTAACCTGAGTAAAAGACGCTTCAGAGAAGAAATCCGTTAGTATTAAACCCTTTTTCACACGAAGGAGCCGAAACTTCCAGTATAGATCATATTTCTGCATTCATTTATCCTTCAGATGCAGAGATATAAAACATGTCGTTTCTGTAATAAATAAAAACACCAACAAGTATTAAAAGCAACAAAGAACCCCCCCTCTTGTGTTTGCTCTCTTCAGTCAGAACCAGCCTTCTCCTGATAATCTTCTCAGTCAGCAGCAGCCTCAGCTCTGCCTGCTGTCAACCTACTTCCCCCAACTCCAGATGTGATGTCGGCCCTTTGTACCAGAGGGATTAACACAGTCTGCCACATTTGGAGCTGATAATTCAGCATCCGAGCTGGATCGGCTGCAGAGATCAGTCACCGCCAGCTCCAGCTTCACAAATTATTTGCTACAAGAAGAATATCTCAAAAGTAAATACCGCCCCCGCCCCCGCCGTGAGCTGCGTTTAAGTTGTAAAGTTATCTAACAGTTTCATGCTTGTGCAGGAAAATGCATCCTCCCAGATCTCATCTCTGCTCCTGTCTCTGATCTGAGGACAAACCGGTCGATGTGAGCAACTTTTTGGAGAAAACGAAATGCCAAGTCGTCTTCTTTTTTTTTCTTTTTTCCCTCATATTTTACCTCAAGGCAAATCAAATAACAGGCAGTGACACAATTACAGATTACAGCCCACAAATTACAATGTGTTTACCTCTTAAAATCACAATACTTTTAACATGTGTGTGAAACAGACAAGCCAGGAGAGGGGAAGGAAAAAATTTGGCCTTTAAAATGGATCTTTATTTTTTAAAGTGCTTATTTATGCATAATTTATTTTGACTTTTTTTTTAATAAAGGTTTTTTGATTATTAACTATTAAGACCTTACTTAAAAAATACATGAGTTAGAAAAGTGAAAAATGCCATGTATTCATGCATTCAGTGATGGCAGGTAATTCCAGTTAGTTTATGCTATGTAAATAAAAAGCAGAATCCCTCCAATTATAGACGTGTGTCACAGCTTTGTTCCCTGCACAAACCAGTGGATGCGCAGTGAATGCTGCCCACGGCTGAATTACAAAGTAATTTGTCGGCTGAAATCTGGGATTTTAGAGGAAAACAACACAGAAAACCCATCATCGAAGCAGTTTTGTTCAATCTGTTTTGCCTCAGAAGTTTGCATCTTATTGTAAATTTTGTACAGTTTGAAAACGTGTAGATTGTCTTGTTTCATGAGTGCTATTTATTATTATTATTATTATTATTATTATTATTATTATTATTATTATTATTATTATTATTATTATTATTAATTATTAATTATTATTGCCATGTGTCTTTGAAAAAGATGTAAAAGAGAGCACTGAATTTATTCATTTATGCCTTCTGTGTAATGGTATGAACCGTGTACAGTTAAATCTATATGAGGAAAATAAAGCTGAATTGTCTTTGGTTACCCCTCGAGTGAGTTCTCCTTTATTTTTCACAGAGCTGCCTTGCAGTGACGAATGCGAGAGCTAAGATCGCCAGGCGAGCTTTATTTATGGCGCATTTAAAGAAAAATACGTCCTGTTTGTGTTTTTATTATTTTTTGCCTTATCGAAACGCTCTTCGAGCCAGTTAACCCACAAATTCATTTACCCATTGAGAGCATTTACCACACACTTAGGCCTCTATTCAATTGTGGAGATCCATTTAGTACCTCCAACAGGCACTGGTCAGTCATTTAACAGTGATCGATGCTGTTTTCCTCTCTCGCTCTCCGAGAGTGGGGGTGACAAGAAAGATGCATGAAAAGAAACTATATGGGAGGACAGAGGGGAGGGGAATAAAACATGCACACAAACAGATGCCTTGCTGGCTGCTTCTCTGATCCTATCAGTGCTGAGGAGACACTGGAGCAGATTGCAGCACAGTCAAATCTACCCTTAATCCCTAGACTGTTAACTAATCGTAGAGTGATTTGTGAAATATGGCCAAACATGCATTGTAGTTATCAAAGAGAACGTGTCTCTTATGAGAGTAAGTCAGGATTTTAAATACATTGTGCAGTGTTGATTTTAAGCCGTCAGGCTTTTGAGGATTTTCTCAAAGCTGACTAAAGTAATTTCCTTTTGTGGCACGTTGTTAGAGATGAAGATATTTCTTCTCGTTTTTATGGATCTCTGAGTCAGGAATCAAACCACAGACATTTGTGTCAACGACTAACAGTCTCTGTAAAAACGAGGCTCCTGCTCTGTAGACATGAAACTATCGCTAAGGTCTTCACTAGTGTCTCACATCCTTTTTCTTTTTTCTCATGCGACACAACTATTTAAAAGATTTGTAGTTATGCAGCACTTTGGAAAGGCATTCATACCTCTGGAGCTTTTTCTCATTTTGTCATATTACAACCAAGAACTTCAATGTGTCTTCTAAGGATAGTAACTATCCTCGACAGATTTGGTCTTTATGAAAGGAGTAAGCCTTCATCAACATAAAGCTACAATGTTTCTCGTTTGACATTTCCCACGAGTCATGCAGGGGATACAGGAATGTGGAAACGCCACAGTGAAACTTGTTGGTGGCAGCGTCATGCTGTGGGAATGCTGTTCTTCAGCAGAAACGGGGAAGCTTGTTTCTGCTGCGCCTGCAAGGGACTCGGTACTGTGGTGAAGATCCACCTTCCAGAAGAAAAACAATCATAAGCATGCAGCTATTCATGCTATTCATGCGTTTGATCGGCCTAGTCAAAGACCTCCTTCGCCTCCTGCACTTAAAAAGAAATGTTTATTTGAACTCGTTTTATTAGTTTTACTCAAGCTATAGTTCTGATTTGGATAATTCTGAAGTCAGTTATAACTTGAGCAAAATTAATCAAATTAACTGTAACAAATTTGAGTAATTTTTGATGCTAGTTAAAAAAAAAAACAACTAAAAATGTTTTTCAGTGACAGTACGTGGATGGACAGATGGATGGACGTACCGTCCAGTCTGTGTCCTGCTACTCCTCCTTTTGCTGGAATAGTCCAGCCTCTCTGCCACGCTGATCCAGATTGAGTGGATGTGAAAGATGACTGAATTATGATCTTGGCTAAGCATGTTTATTAAAATAATTAGAAAGAAATGAAATGTGTTATAATGAAATTACAGCACAGCGTACATCGGTATGAAACTCATTTCTATGTGGGAATGTGGAACATTTGTCTGAAAGGAGGGGCTTGTAACCCAAACATAAGTGCTATCGATTGCTTTGTTTTAGATATTCTTTCAGCATTATAAAAACAAAAAGGCAAACACTCATTCCGGTTGGAGTTTGCACGTTTGCATAAAATGCCACAAATCTAGCTGATTTTTATTTAAGCATTGATTGGATGGGCTATGGGCATTAATGGATAGGGTCTAATAGAACCGGCATACAAAGATAAAGAGCCGCACAGACAGTTAGGATAATTTACACGCCACTTACAGCACTAGTATACATATAAATCTGAGGGAACTCCACCACTGTTGCTTTTGCAAAGATGACAAACACAAGCGCAAATGCCATTATCATCGATCGCAAGGCTTTTATTACAAACTTCCTAAAGGAAACGCCATGTTTTTTTTTTCCTTGCATGAAGCAAAAAGGAATAAATTAATATGCAAAACAGACAGGATTTGTTTTGGACCGAAAGTCAATCTCAGAGCATCGAGAAAGGACATTTTTCTCCTCAAGTGATTTCAATGTAGCCCTGCAGTAAACAATGATCTGCATGATGGCTGAGTTGGCTGGAGTCAAGCAGGAATCTTTCAATGACACATTCAAGGTTGTTTTAAAGGAAAACTGCGACTTGTCCACCAGATAGTTGCTGTAGCTGCAGATATTAGACAGATGACAGGTAAAATGATACGAGCTCATGATGATCTAGGGGGATCAGTCAATCAAATCAATAAATCTAATTTTATCTGTACAGCACATTTCAGCAATGAGGCCGTTCAACAAGTGAAACGTTACATTTTTCCAAGTGCCATTGTTACACATCGAAATGTTGGTTAGTGTTTCATTTGTTATGGTCCAAGGGCAACTCTAAACAGCTGGGATTTTAGTCTAGATTTAAAGGAACTCAGTGTTTCGGCTGTTTTACGATTTTCCAGAGGTTTGTTCCAGATTTGTAGTGCACAGAAGCTGAATGCTGCCTCTCCATGTTTGGTTCTGGAGATGCAGAGCAGAACCAGAACCAGAAGACCTGAGAGGTCTGGAAGGTTGATACAACAACAAGGATAATATTCCTAATCCTTTATATGTTTTTTTTTATTTTTTTTTTAGCTTTGATGTATTTACTTGAAACAGATCATTCTCAGAATCCTGCAGTGTAGTTTGTTATCAAAATCTGGAATCTCAAGCAGCAGAAACACTTCCTTCATCATCTGAACCCCACAAAGATGAATATGATTTAATCTAAACACCTTTCGCTCTGGCTGCATGTTTAAGGTTGCTGTCCTACTGGAAGTTGAACGTTTGCTCCAAACTCAGGCCTTTTGCAGCCTTTCACATTTATTTTCATCCATCTTCATGTTAATTCTGACCAAGGTTTCCTGCCCTCAATGAAGAAATTCATCCCCACAGCATAATGCTGCCACTGCCATGTTTTTACATGAGATTAATGTTAGCAGGGTTCAGTTTGTGCAGTAGTTTGTGTGATGCCCAAAGAGTTTAGTGTTGGTCTCTTTTTTAAATATGTTTGCAGTTACAGTGATATGATTGCACATTTTCTTGAAGTACATCTTCCATAATGACATTAAGTTCTAGTTTAAAACAGAAAATAAGCGGTAAAATAAACAAATCTTTGCATAGATCTACAACTTAAATGTCATTTTAAGAAATACTCTGGCTTTGCAGTTGAATAAATAAAATTATTACATCGTTACAACTTTTATTATCATCATTAAGAGAGAATATTTGATTCTCTTTCTTCTGACTTAGTAAGCTGAGTTCATAACATGGTGGGTTGAATCCTAATTTTACTAAACTAATAAAAACAATGTCTTACAAAAAGACATTGTAGATTTTTTATGTTTGAATCTTTCTTGGTTATTAAAAATGTTACCTTGTTTTCTATTTCTAGATAAACTCTAAAGAAGATTAAAAAAAGGCTTTATGAAGCACTAAAGTGAAGTACATCTTAAACTGCTCCTGATCCTACTTTATTACTTTTCACCTGTAAAGAAACAGCATAAATATTCAGAAGGGCTGCTTACAGAGCGGTTGTGGTGCATGTGAGTCTGAGGCTTGCAGAGGGAGGGAGCTGCAGTGTCACAAGTGAAAAGCTCAAAGGAAAATTGAAGCTCCATAATGGAAGCATAATGGGCTTAGTGTCACAGTCTTGCAGACAACCCGGAGGGGGGGGGAAGTATGACTGCCGTCAACCTCTCTTACCTCTATCCAATGTAACCGAGGTTCAGGAAGCAACAAGGAGACAACAGTGAGACCAAAACAAGCTCCAGAGGAACACCAGCAGCCTAATGGCTGCATGTGGATGGAATTTATAACAGTGAAATGGCCTCCTCTCCTCTTTGTGGGATTGTAGATCATCACATCCCAGACTTGCCTTGAATACTCAAAAGCTTTTGATCTCAGCTTACGTAGGGTTCATGAAAACAAATCCTGTTCTATAAATCTCATACTGGAGTTGAAGATACTTTGGTTGGATTTCACAAATGCAAATAATAATAATAATACATTCAGAAAAACAACACCAGTTCTAAGGAACCAGAGTGTTTGATTAGAAGTAAAACTAATGCTACCAAAACATCAGCTCCCCTGATGATTAATTCATTTGAGCCATTCCAGTAATCTGAGGCTGCCCATACACTGAAAGTAAACAGATTCAATCGATTGTGGATTTTCATATTGGCCATATAGCTCACTGCACAGGGTGATATCCCTTACTTGCTGTTACAGAACAAGGTTTCTGTGCATTTGCAGTAGCAGGTGTCGCCCTGTGTTGTGCACAATGTAAACACTGTAGGAAAGTGTGGATGCGATGTCTAATGGCACTGGAGGTGGTCTGTTTTTAAGGAAGCATTTACTTAAAGTGTAAACTATCTAAACTGATCAAACCTTGATTTCACATTGAACAGATCTGTATGAAATACTAAGACTGATGGAGTCTTTATTTTTTCCTATAGTTTACTAATCCAGACAGCAACGAAGGAGGGACTAGTTCAGAAACCCGTTTGTGTGAGAAGTGCCACTAAGCTAGCATTTTAATTGGTCTTTATCAAGATATTAATCAAGATATAAATTGATGTGAAGTAAAAACCAGGATGTCTGCCATGTTTATAATGCACTGAGGCGAGGGACACCAGGTATCTCTATTTATTTTCTCATTTATTTTTGGCAGCTTTTGTGTCCCTACTGAAAAACCCTGATGCTGCCGCACACATACGCATGTCAAATGCTATCTTTCCACCAAACACAGGGTTTTGCATGTAGGTTAAAGAGTATTTCTTCCACAACTTTTTCATGTACCGTTTCTTCTTGCAACTCTTCCTTAGGGATCATGTTTGTAGAGTGAATCACTGTACTGTGTTCCTTAGTCCTCATGATGCAGCAGCTGTTATATAGAGGTACATCAGAACATCTATATGAAGAAAAAGTGTAAAACAAGTGGTAGGGTTTTACCAGGCAGACTAACGAGTAACGCTGAAAAAATGCACCTCTCACAGGCTGTTTTTCTAGATTTTACCCGGATATTTTTTAAATACATAACTTTCAGAAACTCTTTTTCTGTCTCAGGCTTTTCGTCTTGTTTTAGTTTCCACTTTTCTAATTATTTTAACACATACAGCACAATATGCTACATTATCAAACAAAAATAGTGGACAAAAAAACCTTCAAATCTTGTTTAAGAAGTCAAGTTTAAGAAAAAAAAAAAAAAAGACGTCAATCCATTTTTTGTGCAGACTACTGTATGTACAATCCAGTTCAACCCATGGCTGAGGGTCTGGCAGCTTCCCACCAGACATGTTGATAGTTATCTAACACCTTAAGTCGCAGCAGATTTTCAGTGTGACACTGGGCAAAGAGGGGGGTTGAGCATGGGGTCAGAGTGAACTTGTGCGTTAGATAGTCAAGGATTAAGCTTTGTCTCAAGTGCTGTGCAGAAAATCTGCTGGGGGATCTTCATGAATGTGTAGTTAAAAAATCTGGGTCAAGGTTTAGCGTATTTTCAGAGTGTGTATCTGTGTGTGTTTGAGCCGAGGCTTGACGACAAGTAAAGGAGATTTAGACTCCAACCATGTGTTGGTTATGTCCAGATACGTTCCTCTATGACATCATAGTCCAGAGGCAGAGCTGAAAACATACTGTGTTGTTTTATGAGTTTACTTTAGATATGAATTGGTTACTTTTAAACATGAGGAGTATATTAAAGCTGCAAAATATTATAAACACTAGACAATATATATGTAGCATACACCTGTTGGAGTGGTTTTTAGTTGGTCTCAAAAGTGTAGAAATAAATTTAAATCTATTATTTAAACTTTTACCACTTTTAATGTGACATTCTGAAGCAATTCAAGCACAACCTAAAACTAATACCATGTTAAAGCACCTTCTGGCTCCACTACCAGTGTTTTTGGCAGGAGTTTTTCAGTATCCAATACCTTAATCTGTTCTCTCAACTATAGCTGGTAAACTATACCAGCTCTAAATCTACCAGGTGTTGAGAACGTCTTTTGTCAGAAATGAATTAGCTGACCACTGTTTCTGCTTACAGGACCGAGCAACTGACGGAGGCCAGGCGAAGCTTTAATTAAGACTTTAATGATGAAAACTTAGAAATGAATGAAGCATTCCTTAATATACAACAGCAGAATCATAAACTAACTCAGAGAGGACGAACGTAGAATACAAGTGTGTCAGGTTATCAGGTTTCAGCTGGGAGACGGGTTGATATGAAGTGTCTGTATGGTGCAGTACATTATGTTCATAATACGTTATGTGGTATTGTTCATTTTTGTGGATTGTTCTAAAAGTATTTTCCCAAAGACTGAATAGTTCTCATAAATCCAGATACGTCACATCAAAATGATGCAAAATCATTTCAGTAAAATGTTTCCAAGACGTTATCCAGTTTATTAATTTGTCATATGGTCCACGTAGATGCTTGTTTAGCAGAAGTTATTCTGGGAGTGCTTCCCTCAGTACAGCAAAATTATTGTCAACAGATCTTTACTGGTTACTACAATGTCTTGCAGTAACCATCATGTTATCCAGTTCTACTGTACAATCAACATACAGTTTTACAAATAACTGAAAACACATGCAATGCTCTGTTTTTGTCTTATCAGATGGGACATACATGTTCACAGATGAACTCCAGAAGAGCTAAACATGATTTCAGATTCACCTTCAAAACTTGAAAACTAAAGAACAACAAAACAAAACATCTGCAAACCGCAGAACCTAGAGAGTCTTTCCAAGGATCAAGGACGAGTAATGGGAATACCGGACAAATGTGTGGAGAAGAGACGAGAGAAGACTTGGATGGCACTATAAAGGGATGAGCTAGCCTTTCGGAGCGGTGTACTGGCGCAGGAGTGTGGAGATGGCGCTGGATTCAGTGACCTCCTCGGGAAGAGAGCCCTCCATGTCTTTGATGGATGGGTCAGCGCCGCTGTTCAGGAGGAGCTCTACAATGTCAGCAAACTCGCAGGCGGATGCTAGGAAACACAGAGGACATAATGAAGCAGAGGCTAGGAGGAGGTGTTCAAAGCAAAGTGTTGAGTTCATGAAGGAGAAAATAATTTTTCTGTAAACTGTGTCGATACATGACTAACTGGAATATGGAGATATGGAGAATTATCAACAAGTCATATAAAAACAGAGAACAAAGCACGCAAGCTGTATGTGTTAAGACAGACATGTTGCTAAAACATGCATGTTTTAGCAACATGTCAAGATAAATTTTGCAGGACGACAAATTGTCCCAGGACTCATTGCGATAAACGATAAAATTGTTGTTTTGAGACCAATTTCAAGTAACATAATAGCAATAATGGCATAATAATGCCAGAACACATTCTCATGGATCAATACAATTTTAATTTTAATGAACATTTAGACACTGGAACTGGAAGACATTTGAAATATCCAAAACAAATAAAGAAAACAACAGAAACAACAAATGACATCAATTATGAAGTCTGTGTAAGCAAAATTATCTTTTGAAAAAAGGGATAGTTGAGACCCAAACACCAAACTGAAGACTTTTATCAGTCAGGTTTTAGAAAAAAGAGAGGGAAAAAAGGAAAACGACAAATAAACCAAATGGAAATGATTGAGTTTCTTTTAATTTATCATGCAATTAATTGATGTATTGTTTATTGTGACTGGCCCAGGTGCCATGTTAGAACATTGCAGCTTTGTTGACCTTGTTAATTTACCAACGTGTTACGGCTGACCTGCAGATAATTTGCTAGGACAAAATACCGGTTGGAGTCAAGAAAGATGTAATATTCTGAACAAATCTCCATTGTATAATTACACAAAGGTAATACTGAGAAAAAGTAGAGTCCAGTTTTACTGCACAATAAAGCCTCTTAATGCCTTAAATAACAGTAAAGTAGTGTTGCACTAAAACATTTGGTGCATTCCTTTTGTTCTTAGAAATTTGGTTGGAATAAAGATGAGCAAGAAGCATAGAAGGGAACAATAAACCTGCCAGGAATAGGTTGTTTTACTTTTTATATAATTAACTAACACTTAAGAGTACTATGTTTTATTCAGCAAGTATTTAACCATATATGTTTTGCTAAGCTATTGATATGATAAAGTTAGACATGCCTCTTTAGTGATGGGTATCTGCTTTAGGTAAACCTACCAAATATCTTTTCAACAGCTAGCATTGTTTAATATAGCATATGTAGAGGATTGAAGTTAATGAAAAGCTTATCTGCAGACCCTGCAGTGACACTAGCCTGGACCTGAGCCTCCTTCAAACACTTCATTTCTGCCCCACTGGCAATATGTGGCCCGCTAAAAGGGTCTTCTCTCTCTCTCCCTGTTTCAGTGCAGAATAAAGAGGAGAAGGGACAGCTTGCACTTTCCTAACCCAGTTAGTGAGTCCCATCATTCCTGATGCACCTCTAAACCATGTGGCACCCCCCCGCCCCACCACCTCCTCCCCTCTCTCCCTAGCCCTCTCTTGTTGTGAGTGCTCTTCTCTGTCAGTATCAATCGCAGGCTCCTTTTAAAAAGCAGACTTTGTGCTGTGCCACGTTCGCTGATGTCAGCAGCTGCGGTGATTGACAGCTAGGCCTTTTAACCTGCAGCCCAGAGGTGGCTGACGGGCCTGGATGCTGGTGGGAGTCCAAATGCGCGAGATGTGATGATACATCGGAATGCATGTGGGCAAGTAAGCAAATGTGAGTGGCACGTATGTATGCGGAGGTGAATGAAGTGTTAAAAGCTCAGGGAACCAGCCAAATCAGACTGAGCTCGACTGCTTTTTCTTTTTTTTTTCTTTTTTTCCGCTTTTTACAGCTTTGCTTGCAGCTTTCCTCTTGTTGCTCTAAACAGTATTTTATCCAGCCAGCCGAGTGCGCACGTGGCGGGTGTCTCGGCTGGGCCTTGAGCCGTAAAAAGTGGCCAGCCCTCAGGGGAGCAGTAGAGGAGGAGAACAATTTATGGTGAGCAGTAAACCCTCAATTAATCACTTGCCAGCCACTGCGGCCCTGTGCAAAGAGAGGTAGGAATGAATTTTCATTCTCTGCTATTTGTCTCTTTGAGTTCATCGCTTATGTTTATTAGTCATCTTTTTATACCACATCCTCAGGGGCTGCTCTGATGAGTGCATGTATATGTGTGTGTATGTAGCCTGCTGGTAGGTGATGCAACATGCCCGCTCCGACGCCACCACGCCGTCGGAGGACAGATGGTGTAGCAGCTCATACACACATGTACGCTCATAAAGAGGCTCAAAGGACGTGAGCACCGCCCATCAGGGACACGTGTGTTGGGGCACGAGAGGGTCAGGGGAGTCTGAGGACCACTGCTGATTTCCTCTGGGAGGTCTGGCGATTATTACACACACACAGAGAAAAGTGTGCACACACAGACACACACACACTCAGCTAAGGAGGCACATATACAAACCAAAGAACAGAGAAGAATCACAGAGACTTGGTGAAAAAATAGAAAAGTGTTGAAAATTAAGATGAGGAATGGAGCAGAGTTAGAAGAAATATGATAAATCTGAGACAAATATGGGCAAAGGGTGTGTGTGTGTGTGTGTGTGTGTGTGTGTGTGTGTGTGTGCGTGTGTGTGGGCAAAAAACAAGCTGCTGTACATAAAGGGAGGACGCATGCAGACAACATAGTCATGACAATGTACGTTTTTTCAATTGCAGAGATGAATACAAGGGGGGCTCCTTACCATAATGTAGCGCTGTCTGCCCTTCATTATCCTGAAAAAGGCAAAACAAGTGTTTACTTCAGCAGACCCATGACAGAGGAGCAATAAAATACTCCAGAGTGAGCAAATTCAGAGAATAATCAGGGTGAGATGCTGCATCTTTGCACTGCATATTGCAAAAAAAGTTTTGAACAGTCAGTGTCTGTAGTGGAGGACATACTGACTGCTTTTGTTCACTCTATTTTCTCTGGTTATACTCTCCATTTACTGTTTACTGCTAACATTAACTTGAAATTCTCACTTTGTCCACCTTCCCATATAGACGGATGCCTTACTGACACACTTAGAAGTCAAGATCCAGCATGTTATAGACACGTCTCTGCATGGACACATCTCCAGCACGTTATCAAGTGTTCTCTTAATTTTGTCATTGTACTGTTTTTTGTTTTGTTTGTTTGTTAATTGTTTTGTGGGTTTTTTTTTTTTTATCACACAAAGCACTTTGAATTGTCTTGTTGCTGTCCAAATCAACATGCCTTAACCTTGTTAAAGCAAAGGTCACAGTTAAAGATTGTGTTTACTGTTAGATATGCTGCTTTTGTCCTGCTATAAAAAGAACAGGTCACGGTCTCACTTACTATTCAAAGCTGCGTTTTTCAGCAGATTGCTGCTCAAACTGAGTCTGGGTCTGCAGAGTCTAAAAGTGACAGTCTGTGTCAGAAAGTGTGCAGAAAATCCACAAAGGGTCTCTCATGTGGACGAGGATGACTCTGTGTCTTTATAACAGTACAAATGTCATTTGGGGTCAAAGGGTCAGAGGTGGAGATGTAACTCTTGTATGAATTGTTTGACTGGGGACAAGGATGGGGAAATATGTGTGTGCGCAGGTATAATGAAGCAGAATATATGACAGGCAACATCAACAGCAGAATCACTTCTTAATCACCACTCCAGACTGCCTTTGCACCTCATAACTGAGACAAATGGATCAAACTGTTGCCACTGGTCTGAGAAATGAAGAGCTTGAACTGAGCAGTGTTTTGAAATGCTCAGGAAGACAAATTGATTCGCATTACGCCAAGGGAATGCAAATAAAAACGTTGCAGAAAAAAAACAAACAAACAGAAATAACAACCTCCTGGTATATCAAAAACAAGCAAAGCGTTACATAAAAGTTTGATACATCACACAATATGAAGAAAGAAGCGGTAATAAGATAAAAACCCAAGACATGACAAAAATGATAGAGCTTTTTTGACATTTATGAAAAACCCGTAGTAAACAAAAAATGTTTTCCGTCCTGATTTAAAAGTGTCAGTGGTTCCTGCGTGTCTCAGTCTTTTGGACAATTGGATCTAGAGTTGAGGAGCACACTAGTAACTAAATGTGCCTTGATGTGTTTTAATTTGAGGTTTAAATTTGCAACAATTCCTAAATCTATTTTGGTCCTAGAGGCCTTTAGTGGAATAAACAGACAGGAAAACAGGCAGAGAGAAGAGAGGAAGACATGCAGCAAAGGTCTTAGGGACGGGAATTGAACCCAGGACGGCTGCGTTGAGGCTTCTACCCTCTGGATGCTGTACTTGCTCTACCTGTGCAACACACAGCGCCCCAGCATTATTAAAAGTGATATTAAATATCAATTTTTAAAAATATTTTTAGAAAACCACATGTGCTGTCTCAAAATGTCTTAATTCTTTTCATGTGACTGTGTTCCTTCTACTTTTCTTCAGTCCTAACATCCACCTTTCTCACTCTGCCTTTCCGTTTCCTCTTCACTTTCATGTCCTCTCCCTCTCTTTTCCACCCACCTTCTGAGGCTGGGAGTCGGTGCATAGTGAAACCATTGCTGTGCTTTTCTTGGTCTCTCAGGACCAGCACTTTGGGGACCTGCTTATTGGATTAGCGCTTGGTATTTCCTCTGGGTGGATTTCAGAACACAGATGTGAATCGCCACCAGCGTGGAAATCAGTGCTGTGATTCAACCAAGACAGCAATGCTGTCTGTCTGCAGGTAAAAAAAAAAAAATCACAACTTAAGATGTTCCGCACAAATTGTCCATTTTATTTTTCTGCTGTGTGTAAAGCAGAGTTGAGAAAAGTATCATAAAAATACAGCTTTTAAATAAAGATTCTTATGGCAACTGCCATAAAAATCTGGTTATAAATATAAAACTTTGAAGGTAGTGGAGAGGGTATTATGTCAAATCAACTTTTTATTTAGCTTTATGTCATGTTATAATGTTATTCCCTCATCAAAAATATACCTGGAGTTCAGCTTTGATTCTTTAATGAAAATTTGAGACATCCTTGAATCTCCCATGGTAACCAATCAGGGGTGCGTAAACGAATACTCCAACAAAGCAACATCTATTTCCATGCAGTCCGCCTCATAGAGCATCCCTCTCCTGCAACTCTCCCCTCTCTGCTCCTACAGACTAGTGGCAGCAGTCAGCAAACACGTGGGGGAATTGTAAGTACTCCTAAGAATGGTTGTAAATGGCATCATGGAGGAGCACTGAGGTCATGATGGGCGGAAGAGGGCGTGTTGGAAAGTGTAGCAGCTTCTTAAAGAGATAAAGACCAATTTCAAGGTGTCAAATTGCATTTCTATAATAACTGATGGTAACATAGTTACCTGATTGTGCTATAATATGGCACTATGTGCCTAGAAAATACAAAATGTACCTTCTTTAAAAAAAAGTTCCTTGTTTTTGTACACATCAAACAAAAGCAAAAACAGTGAGATGGGGACTGAAATGTAAAAACTGAAGTGTGTTAAATCACCTAACTCCATAGCTTTATTTAAAGTGAAAGGGATTACAGTTCCCATGTTAATTTTTTAAAACACAATGATCTCTTAGCTTTCTCATACAAAAAAAGAGTAATAATAACAGATTATGAGCATATTTGAAGAGGATTATAGTATATGTAGGCAGTGCAAATGCAGCCTAAGGCCTTCTTGCATGACTGTGGGGGTCATTCTCCGCAAACTTTAATGCCCCTGGATTCAGGACGGAAGCTTGATGGAATCACAGGAAATTGGATTGTCTTCTATTTGCTTTGGAAGCGGACACTCCCCCTCCGACCCTCTTACCTGCAGTCAACATCCCCCACCCCTCGCTCTCCTGTCTCCGTTGCACCCCTGTTCCCATCCCATTATGGAAGCATGTCGCACCAAACCTTTGCTTTTACATGTCATCCAAAGTTTCCTCTTGCAAAACAGAAACGCTGGGCTGGATGTCAGCAGAAAGCTCAATAAAGTACCATAGTGGCAGAGGAGACCCGGCTCAGAGTGCTAGTGTATCGCGCTCATGGGGAGGGAGGAGGCGGGAGCAATATGCTTAGAAGCTGCATGGATCTATCAGTCTGATTACAGTTTTGCTGAATTCAGGTCCCACTAATCTATCATTTCTACCACACAAATGATGTGAAGCAAGATGAATGTAAGGAAGAGAAAGTGAATTAGAGGGATATAAAAAGAAGGCAAGCAGTCTTGTGAAAAAAGGAAACACTGAAACTAGTCCTAAGTTGTTTGAAAAAAAAAAGAATAGCAAAGAGACCAAATAATAATTTTAACTTAAAGGAGCAGTTTCTGTTATTTTAAGTAAAAGAACAGGATAGGTCAAACAACTAACTCCGTAACTCTAACTCAGGCCAGTAAAAAAAAAAAAAAAAAATTTACAAATCTTTTTCGCTGTATTTTTGAAATACCAAATTATACAGCTAGTGGTTCATTATACTTTGTTCATTTTCTGAACTTGTGGCTCTAAGCAAATAAAGCTCTAGCATTAACAGAGTTTGGTGTCTAACAGGGCTAAGCTAGCCCGCCACATATTTTTTTGGACATATAGTAAAACTACACAGCACTAGCACAACAACTTAGAGACACTATTTATAAATTGCACATAATTGTCACTGCTACAAAACTAAATGACATGCAACAACTTTTGCAATGACAGAAGAATAAGGTTGCTCCATATCGTACCACAACATGCCAACGCTCTGTCTGTACTGATGAAGTACAACTGCTCTCGGTATGCCGAATGCTTGGACTGGTCACAGTAGGACAGCTTGACCAATTTTCTGATTAATCCAGCTAATAAAGATTGGACAACTCGAGACAACTCTAGACCAACTCTAGAATGGAGGACAAGATTTTTTATTTATTCATTATGAAGACTCCTTTGAAGACTCCTTATAAGAATACACAAGTAAAATAGAAATGTGATAAAATTTGATGGATTTTTTACAGACATTAACATATGTACCAAAGCAAGCATAAGTGAGATGATAAGTGTAAAGTTTGGATGCTTAATCATTCTACAATGTATTCAAAAAACAGAAAGATATTGCTATTCTTCATTTGCAACATGTAAAAATGTTGATGCATACAACATACTCTCAGAAAATTTAAATACTGCCCAAATTATTCAACTTGCTGAAATTCACTGTTAATAAATAAACTAATTTAGAGTATAAATATTGCAGTTCACTAAACCTGTAGTCTCTCTCAAGAAGACATCATGATGTCCAGATATAAGTACATAGGTTTTGTTGACAGTTAGTTTTGTAAAGCCAACCAAAAATATTTTAGTTTGTTTTTCTAGGAACTAACTACCAAGGTGGAATGGGCTTACAAATTTGTCTCACTACAGTGATTTTTCCTGTAGCTCTCTTTTCTTAGCTCATTTTTCTGTGTCGCAGTAAACTTTCTTTGGGCTTTTCTTCCTCTCTTCCCTTCCCGCCTCCGCCTTTTCTCCTCCTGCTGTCCCTGACAGCAACATTAAACAAGTAGGGAAAAATGAACAAGCAATTATGATTTATGATCAATGCATGCAGCAGCTGCTGACTTTTATAATGACAGTGGTTGGGGGGAGGGAGGATGAATGTGTGTGTGGTTTGGATGAGGGGGAATCAATAAAGGCCTGGGATCATTGGTATGCAGATTCCAAGAGATAGGGTTATGACAAGTAGGTGCCATTAATCAGAAAGCCGAATGCAGATCAGGATGGAAGAGATGATACTCCTATACGGCATCATAAGTAAATCTGGAGCAGCTACTACAGAGCCAAAAATCAAAAATCAGACTCTGTGTGCAATAAATTACACAGTTTGTGCGTGGCATCCAGTTTTTAAAGATACTGTGTTTAAAACATTCAATGAAAGCTTCCAAAGGAAAAAAAAAAATCTTAGCAAACGTTTTCCTGCAAAGTGAGATTCCCTTATTATTTCATGCATCTTACATCAAATGTATTAATATATATTAATGATATATGGGTGGCGCAGTTGGTAGAGCTGTTGCCTTGCAGCAAGAAGGTTCTGGGTTTGATTCCCGGCCCCGGTCTTTCTGCATGGAGTTTGCATGTTCTTCCTGTGCATGCGTGGGTTTTCTCTGGGTACTCCGGTTTCCTCCCACAGTCCAAAAACATGACTCTAGAAATTGTCCCTAGGTGTGAGTGTGTGTGCATAATTGTGTGTCTCTGTGCTGCCCTGCGACAGACTGGCGACCTGTCCAGGGTGTACCCCGCCTCTCGCCTGGAACAATAGCTGGAGATAGGCACCAGCAACCCTCCCAACCCCACTAGGGACAAGGGTGTAAAGAAAATGGATGGATGGATTAATAATATATATATATTAGCTTAGTGAGATTATATATATGACATTTACAGTGAAAGACAATGAAGAGGATCGTGCAGATCCATCTCTTTGTGTTATGACCTGTTTTAAGTACTGTTGTCTTTAAGTACTATAGTCAAATATTCCCAGGCAAATCTTGTTCAAAGCAACATGCTAAGTTTATTAGGCAGTAGAACAATTTTTAGATAATGGCACTGAAATATGTTATAAGCCAAGCCATCAATAGGTCACATCAAAACTTATAACTCAGCTGCTGAAGGTGTTCAGTATGTTCTATATAAAATCCTTGCAGGCAGGAGCAAATCATAATCTTATTAAAGATTGTAGTTGACAGAAAATATCTTCCGGAGTAAAGAATAAAGACTGCCATGTTTCAGGTGCTCCAAACATTATAGTAAATGATAAATTCTGACATCTACATGGCTTAGCTTTTAAGAATTATAATAAGGTGTTGGCCTACAAATACACAAGCCATCATATCGAAAACAAAAAGTCTTTATCAATGTGTTTTTGAAAGTAGGTTAGACATAGTCTTGCACATGAATTTGCCCTTTGTATTTGTGTGCGGTTATCCTGCTGGTGAGTGTCTGAAAAGGCCCCCTCTTAAAAGGATCTGGGGCCAGCCGTAATCAGATTTAGGCATCTGTCTGTGTGCAGGGAGAGGTGAGTTTAACCATTCATTATGTGAGCGCTGCCACCCACGGCCAGATTAGCCTGACACCAAACTCCCTGCCCTTCACATGTCCAGGAAGTGTCCTTCACTTGCCTGGAACTTCACCCTGCCCCCTCTGATTCAAACCACCGAAAAGAAAATAAAAAAAATAAAAATACACAACTTCTATAAAACAATAATAACCTATTGGATGTTTTGGATACTTTTCGTTTGTCTTTTCTTGATGGAAATGCCTCCCTGTAAAAACCTTGCCAGTCTAGGACAATAGCAATGCTTTATCTCGGTCAGGTTTATTGAAATATCCTGAACACGTCATTACGTTTTGACTTTCTGG